ATATTATGCTTCACAATTCACCGATGCAAGATGAATCAGGGTAATTTGTTCATCATTGACCAAGAAAATTGGTATTCAAGGGTCTCAATTAATTCTACAGAAGGGGCGTTCGAATTCCCCCCCCCTGCCACGCTCAACGACTCACAAAGACAGCTGTCACCATGGCTTCCAAGGGTACCAGCCGATTGTACTTCTGCGGGCTAGAGGTTGCAATCCAATTGTACTTCTGCGGGCTAGCGGGCCAGCATTTATAAGATAAGAAGACCTCGTGCTTCAATGCTAAAAATAACACCAAATCACTCAAGAATAAACCATATCTTGACATACCATTCAGACATGACATTGACCACTGGATCTTTCCATATTGTACACAACGAACATTCAAGACCGGGGCGGGATTACCTGTGCTTTAGTGGGAATTTTCATGGTCAATTTGGTGTAAGTCACAATTCACTACTGCAAATTTGCCAAATTAATACTAATCCGAGCAGCCTTTTCTGCAAGCACGGCCAAACCTAGGGCCTCTGGAAGTAATGAAAGCTTCGATATACACGTCTGGAAAGTGGCATATTGGCTCAGGGCCTACCTCTCTTATGTTGGCGCGAGTATATCATGAAGACTTTGCCCTCTCACTCGGAGGCGCTCAAAAATACAGTGGAAAGATTATCAAGATGGACGACGACTCAATATTGAGCTTTCAATTAGCTGATGTTGAGCCGTTGGGTGAATTTGCGCAAGTGGGGCGACGGTTTGAAGGTGTTATGATAGATGGAGTAGGTTCAATTGTTGATTGGCGTGTCAAAGAGGTCGAAGAAGGGGCAAACAGTAGGACGTGGTTTCTGACTATTGATCACGATGTCAATGTAAGTTAGAAGTCCTCGAGATTTTTGGCATGGGCTAATGCTTTCCACAGAACAATACAGTTGATAAGGTTACAGTGACGTACATACTGGCGGAGAATTCGATTATGATGCCGAGCCGTATCCAGTTCAACCGAGGAGAAAAGTTCTGGGTGGAAGGGACGCTTGAGTCGCTAGGAAACAACCCCGACAGCATGGTTGTTCAAGTGAGCAGTTACTTTGGACAATTAGTTATTCTCTCAGCTGGAATTCGCTAACCATTTCTTTACAGGCAACTCGAGCCATACTCTTTCAAGCCGCGTGATGATTCATGTTTGACGAGTTTGTTGCATGATCTCAATGTTTTTGTTGAATTGGGGTACCCTTATGAAACCATTTTACTCTCGGTCAATACCTATGCAATTCAATTTTAGTCTCTAGCTCGGATGAGATTCTCGCCCGCTTGATAAGAAGGTGGCCTGAAATGCCACGGCGGGCGAGGCCTGACTAATGTCCAGTAGCCCAGTCAGTTCAGCCCAATTGGAATGGTCTAATCCAGTTCAGACTGAAGTCAACCCAGCAAGAGTATCAATCCGAGGTGAAATCGGATCTATAGTTAACCCGGTGAATACTCAACAGTGAAGATATAAGAGTCAGGTGTGACCTAAAATCCAATAAGAAATCGTCCGTCGCTTCTTCCCTACCATTATCAATAGCACATTAAATCAATTTAAACCTTGGCTGGCCAAGTTCACTTCAAGTCGTCTTCATTTCTACTTTCACGTCTAAAATTAATAATCTCATTGCACCTGATCAGTGACACCTTGACCTTAATAAACACTTCCCAATTTCCATTTCATACGATGATAGATATAAAGGCTCTAGCAATCCCCGGTGAAGCTGAAAACTCCGAGAAACATATCATTCAAGCTCTTATTTGGACGATTCCCCACAGGTTAGGCGATTGCAATGTCGAGTGCCGCTCATGTGGAGCTTTACATTGGCGGGAGGAATCAGCAGTAGTCGACCGGAAACTGTCTAACATAAGCTTCACAAGTTGTTGTCAAAAGGACAAAGTAACTCTTCCAGTTGTTGATGAGTCCTATCCAGGCTATCCTTTATCGCTCCAGTCGCTATTCATGGCAAACAGTGAAGGTGAGCTTGGTTTGGCTTATTCTGGCTGCGACTCGTCCACTAACACTAATCAACAATTAAATTAGAATCAATGAATTTTCTTGACTTGATCAGGATGTATAACAATGCGATTAGCTTTACATCACTCGGCGCAAAAGTCGGCTCATCAGTTCAAGGCCAGAAGGGAATTTTTGTTTTCCGTATCAATGGTGGACTCACGCACCGAATTTCAAGCATCGAGCCTGTTGGAGACAATGAACCTGCATACGCGCAAATATTCGTCGTTGGGGATGGAGGGACAGCTGAAGCGGAGTTGAGGCTCATGAAAGCCCAAGGAAAAGCTGGTGGAAGGGGGAGGGGTGCGAAGCTCTCATCAGTGACAATTGGCAAATTGGTGGGTTTTCTTGACAAGTACAACCCTTATGCAATACTTTACCGCTGTGCTCGGGAGGTTCTTCAGGAGTCAAATGCAAAAACGCTGGCTCTCCAGGGCGTACAATATCCTGGTGGAGACCCAAAGCGATACAATCAACCTGCTATCGATGAAATTGCAGTAGTGATTCAAGGCGACGGCGAAACGATAGGAGAGCGACAAATTGTGCTCCATCGAAATGACGGCAAACTCGACATAATTTCGGATGTTCACTCTTCCTACTTTCCCCTGAGGTACCCACTATTCTTTCCGTACGGTTCGCAACAATGGGACAACTTGTATCAGGCATGGACTGGACGTGGTTAGTAACCTCATCTTGTGTAGAGGTTGAACATAACTAACCGAATTAATTATCTGGTTAATGCAGTCCATGGGAGGAAGGTTGGATCTTTGGAGTGGTTCGCATTCCTTCTATTTCAGCATCTGGATGATTTTTCACCGATACTAGCGGGCAGGTCGTTATTTCAAGAATTTTTGGTCGACATGTACGTCGTGGTGGAGAGGTCAAGGCTGCGATTCATCACGTTCAATCAAGGAAAATTGAAGGCAGCCCAATATGATAAACTGGTGTCCTCTATTGATGGAGCCGAGCCAAATTGTGGAAGGCGCATAATACTCCCATCGTCCTTTATTGGAGGTCCACGATACATGCGACAGCTGTATCAGGATTCGATGGCAATCTGTCGAAAGTATGGTCCACCATCACTATTCATAACAATGACGGCAAACCCCCAGTGGCCAGAAATACAAGCGCTCCTTAAGCCTGGCGAGAAGGCTTACGACCACCCCACGATAGTTGCACGAGTTTTCCGGTTAAAGTCGAAGGAATTGTTACACCAGTTGGTTGACCTCAATTGTCTTGGAAGGGTTATTGCTTATGTCTCGACGATAGAATTTCAAAAAAGAGGACTTCCTCATATTCACCTGATGTTGACACTCGAAGAGAAGGACAGACCAACCACACCTGAGAAGATCGACCTCCTTGTCAATGCCGAAATTCCAAACAAGCTGGACTCACCAAAACTATATTCGCTCATATCTAATTTCATGCTTCATGGTCCGTGTAATGGCCGAGCTTGCTGGACTGAGAAAGGTTGCAGATTGGGCTTCCCAAAAGCGTTATCAGCAAGAACAGTCACAGTTGATGGGACGTACCCAATTTACCGCCGTCGAGACAATGGAAATACCATCCAGAAATTCACCACAACATTTACTAACGGTTCCGTGGTTCCTTTCAACAAGTATCTCTCCCTGATGTTTGAATGCCATATAAATGTAGAGGTCCCAGTCAGCTCGTCTGCAATAAAATACCTTTACAAATACATAACAAAGGGACACAACAGGTCCTACTTGAAAATTCAAGAAGATGATGAGACAAAAGCTTATGTCGATGCTCGATACATCTCTCCTCCAGAAGGTAAGGGTCTCTTCAATTCATCGTGAAGTATATTGAGCTGACATTTGTGTGTGAAGCTGCTTGGCGCCTTTTGAAGTTCCCACTCTCCGAGCGCTACCCAGCTGTAACGCGGTTAGCTCTTCACGAGGATAATGAACAATTGGTCTACTTTGACAGTGAAGAATCAGCTGCCGGCCAGATCAAATCGGGGAGTGCAGAAAGCACGATGCTGACGGGTTACTTTTGCCTGAACATTGATAACGAATGTGGCGCGGACAACCGGAGTGCTCGGACATTGTTCTATGAGAATATTCCCGCATACTTCTCTTGGAATAAAGCCGATAAGAAATGGAAGCCGCGGAAAACAAAGTCTGAAGCGGTTGGTCGGATCTACGGAATCTCATTCTTGGCCGGTGAAAAGTTCTACATGCGGACGCTCTTACTTCACCGGAAAAATGTACAGTCTCATGAGGATTTAAGAACCGTGGATGGCCGAGTTGCAAGTTGTTATCAAGAAGCATGCAACTGGCTGGGACTTTTGGTGGATGACACATTGTACCATTCGACGTTGATTGAAGCAAGCTTCGTGCGCTCAGGCTTTCATCTATCTCAGCTATTTGCAATGATCTGTGTTCACACACCACCATCGGCCCCAATGCAGCTCTTCGAGGACCACTTCGAGGTGATGACAGACGATATTACAAGAGTCGACATGAGGTTCCGGGATAGTCTGACCCTATCGTTGGGCGAAAGGAGGTTGCTTGGTCTGGGGAGGTTGGAATCAATGTTGAATGACTTGGGTAGCAGTCTGGAGAGGTGTGGGCTCCGGATATCGGATGAAGAAAAATCCCTGCTCAATAGCATGCGAAGCGAAGGGCCAGTTATCGAATCAATTGAAGTCATCACAAGCCGGTTGAACAGAAACGTCTCACGTTTCAATGACAATCAGAAACATATTTATGCTGAAGTCCAGCAAAAATTGCTCACAAAAAAAGCATGTTTGTTCTACATCGATGGACCTGGTGGTACGGGGAAGACGTTCCTCCTCAACTCACTCATCGACCTCGCTGACTCAAGGTCCATCAGTAGGACAGTAGTGGCTTCTTCCGGAGTCGCGGCCCTGCTTTTGAAGGGGGGAACAACAGCGCACTCAGCCTTCAAAATACCAATTGATTGCCAGCCTAATGTCGAGTGTGGAATCGACGATAACACAATTACGAGTGCGGATTTAATTAAATGTGAACTCATCATTTGGGATGAGGTGGTGACCATTCACAAGAATTCAATTGAAGCGGTAGACAGGACACTAAAACATCTATGCAAGTTGGATCTGCCGTTCGGGGGGAAGGTAGTAATTTTTGCAGGTGACTTTCGTCAAATCCTCCCGGTAGTGAAATTTGGGGAATTTCCAGTATCATGTCAGCCACCATCAAGTCATCCTTCATCTGGAAACACGTCACGCAGCTCAAATTGGAAAAGAACATGCGGCTGAGGGTGGAAGCCATTGGACGTGAGGCAAAGAGGAACCGGACCTTTGCACGGTCATTGCTTGGTATTGGTGAGGGGAAGTACAATCAACTTGAGAATGATGTTATCAAGCCAAAACACGTCAACATCAAAAGTTTTCGAACCGCGAAGGAGAGCCGAACTTCTCTGGTCGACTTTGTCTATGGGGACCTTGCACATCATTTTGGACTGACATCGACCGAAAATGGGGATTACTTGCAAGATCGCTGCATTTTGGCACCTCTAATCAAAGACGTCAAGATTCTGAACGATGAAGTCATTATGAGATTACCGGGAGTTGCACTGGAATTGAAGTCGATTGATATCCCTGATCCTGACGGCTGGAACAGCCTTCCAGAGGAATGTCTTAATACTCTCTCTCCACCGGGCCTACCTGAGCACCGGATGCTGTTGAAAGTTGGAATGCCAGTTGTGGTCATACGCAATCTGTACATTTCAAAAGGTGTCTGCAACGGGTCGAGGTTGATTGTCAAGGAGATAGGAGAAGGCTTCATCTTAGGTCAGTTGATGTCGGGGCCCTTCAAGGGGGATGAGATCATGATCCTGAAGATAAAATTACAGAACAAGAGCAACTCCGCCGATGGATACAGCTTCTTCCGGTACCAATTCCCAATCCGTCCAGCCTATGCAATGTCCATCAACAAGTCTCAGGGTCAAACTCTGGCGTGTGTAGGTGTTTTGCTTGAAACTGACTGCTTTGCCCATGGGCAACTGTATGTAGCATTGTCACGTGTTTCTAATGTGAACAATCTCTTAGTAGCAAAGCCCGATGTGAGGACAGGGGTTGTGAATGTTGTGCATTCTTCTATTTTCAAACACTGATCGGGGAAAGCATTCCAAATAGACAATTGATGATTTTTTTTAGAGCTTATTGTAATATAAATCTTTGGTGAAATTCAAACTTGTCCTCCAACGTGGATTGACTTCACGTAATATCAGCTTAGTGTTTGACACAGTTGACGAACTGTAAAAGGAAACAAGGACAATAATCCTTATGTACCCAACTTCATGAAATTGAAACTTGGGTGATAGTGCATGTTCAGTGTTGGGGGTCAAGTTTATTAGTATATGGGGGTTTGCGAACCCTGGCTGCTTGGGGGTTTGTTGGCTGGGGAGGTTGCTGGATTTTGGAGTGCAGCGGCGAAGCCGCCCTGGCCTCTAGTTATTTATTAATCTGTCAAAAATTAATTGAAAAAGGGCCTTAATAAAAAAACCCGCATTTTCCGCGTTTTGACGCGCTTTTGCTGCGGCACAGCACACGCGCATTCCGTGTTTAAACCCGCATTTTTAATTAATTTATTTTTGCCATTAATTTTAATTTTTTTTAAGTTTTTAAAATTGTTTCCTAGGTGAAAAAATGCGTAGAATTCAATGGTGAAGTCCATTTTCCAATAAAATGAGTTTTGATTATTAATTTTTTTTCCACTTATTTTTCAATTAATTGTTTACATACACGTTTCTACCTCATTAGGGGGTATCAAATATAACCAAATCCACCATTATTTAATTGACTGGTTTGAAAAAATCCACCCTTTTTTAAACATGTTGGTTATTCATTTGACCCCTTTTGGGGTCCATTGATGCCAAAAAATTTTTAGGGAAAAGTGACTGGTTTTGAATGGTGGATTTCCTATATTTGATACCCCCTATTGTTTATGCTTTTTTTAAATTTTAAATTTATTTCCTAGGTTTCAATGTGTGTAGAATTCAATGGTGTAATCCAAATTTTTCAAAAATCAATGGTTCATTTTTAATACTGAAATTTGACATTTTTTTTGGGCGTTAATAAAAAAACGCGGTAAATCCGCGTTTACACGCGGTTTCTGCTGCGCGCAGGTTTGCACGCGGTTTTTAATTTAATTTTTTCCCGCTTATTTTTTGAGTTTTTTCGAAATTTTAAAATTGTTTCCTAGGTTTTAAAGTGCGTAGAATTTAATGGTAAAAACCATTTTTCATAAAAATGAATTTTGATTATTAATTTTTTTTTCCACTCATTTTTTCCATTAAATGTGTGCACACATGTTTTTACCTTATTTTTAATGCTTTTTTGAAATTTTAAATTTATTTCCTAGGTGTTAATACGTGTACAATTTAATGGTAACATCCAATTTTCTCAAAACTCAACAGTTCATTTTTAATACTGAAATTTGACATTTTTTCACTTAAATTTCTACAGGTTAATTTTCATTATTTTTTGACATTTTAAATTTATTTCCCACACTTCAAGACATGGTTAAAATGATGGTAACAACTATTTTTCATCAAAATGAAAACTACATCTTGAATGCTGCATTTGACACATTTTTTTTAATTAATCCTTCACGTTTTCACTTAATTGTTTGCATACATGTATGTACCTTATTTTCTATGATTTTTTGAAATTTTGAAGTTTTTTCCTACATTTGAAAGTGTGTAGATTTAATGGTAATATTCAATTTCCATAAAACACAATGGTTCATTCTGAATACTGTAATTAGTCATATTTTTCAATTGATTTTTAACAGCTTAATTATTGATTATTTTTTGACATTTTAAATTTGTTCCTACACTTCAG